AACTGGTAGAAGACGGCAGCAGCAATCGAATTTTGTCGATGATGACCCTGATGAAGAGGCATTTACTGTAAATTGTAAGGCAGCGCCAAGTGGTGCAAAGAAATTCTTCGCTCACCTGCACCTTATCCATGCAAGACGGTGGAAAATTGTTAAAGCTTAAATTCACTCGGCGTCGACCTGTAACACTATGCCCAGTGCAGTATTAAGCCAGCTATTCCCGAATGTGAAGATCTCCAAGACGAAAAGCAGAATTAGCATGTACGGAAGCCAAACAATGAAACCAAAAGGTCTAGTAACCTTTGTGTGTGAAAGGAAGGGCAAATTTCACACAGTTGACTTCCTGGTGGTGAATGTTTCAGGCGACAAACCTCCACTTCTTAGTGGACGAGACGCACAGGCTTTAAGAGAGTGTCTCTGTAAAAGCTGTCCTGTCGATTTTGCTTGAGACACAGATTTCCCTCGTTTCTTGTGTGCTGTAAGGCATTCCTGTGCCTATACTAAAACCACAATCCGTTTGATCGGATCTCTTTATTTTTCAGAGTTTTACGGAAATTATATTTCACTCGAGCGAAGGCCTGTGGTGACACTTTTCAAGACTTTAATTTGAGGCAACTTTGGAGGACAATTTACAAAAAACTACGGAACTCAGCAAAAAACTAATACCCCAACCATGTATATTGACTCTATCTTATCCATCGAGGCTACTTTCGTGAACATCACATTTCAATCAAGGAAACAAGAAGACTTGAATGACACCTTATCGGTTCGCTTAAGTCACACACGCGAATACCGATCAAATTCAAGGTGATTTTTTGAAAAAGTGAGGCGTTTTTAACTGATCCAACTAACATAGCTAGGAAGTAGATGCCATAGAAAAGGTAACTACAGAAAAAACTTTGCGGTCCGACCTTTGCGAAAACTTTATAACTCCGCGAACTTACCTGATTTTCGGTAATCTCCAAGTTTGGCCGCCATTTTGAGGGACTTGTCAACATGAAGCGTAGCAGATATAAATCGAGAAGGTAGATCTAAAACCATGAGAAATACATACGGAAGCAATTTAAAGGAACTTTTCTTTCAATTCAAGCGGTAAAATTGTTTGTTAAACTTACCATTCCTACAGTCCCATGCCACCATTTCCTCCAACAATTCAAACACTACAGGTAGTTAAGTGTTCGAATTCCCCTCGTCGATTCCACCATAGGAAATAACCGGTGTCACCCAAGCTTCGACTCGAATGTAAAGTACGAATCACATAACACAACTGCTTCATCTTCGAGGCAATATCACGCTGGTTTATTGATTTTCTGATCGACAAGAACGGCGATCACGAAGCGATCGCCATGTTTACCTCATAAACGGACCGCTGACCAGCCGCTAAGTGAAAACAGTACGGCTCAGTGGCGATGGGGAGGTTGTGGGGTGGGTGCGGGCAGATTATCAGAAGATTTTTGGGGACATTCGAATATATCCATTAAAGTATCATAATATGCATTACGATTCTCAGCCTTTGTGCAAAAGCGTGCTTTGTGTTGCAGATCTAGACAAGTTTTGTTCTCCTTGGTATTCTTTATTTTCTTTCAAATACATTTCGTTCCAAAAAGGATCGGCATCAGTTCATAGATTTATAAACAAATCTTTGCCATGTAAATAAATGTGTTTAGATAATCGGGATAACCATTGAAACTCTTGTATCGCATCAGTAGTAAGGTTTCTTGTCTTTGCTCAAGTCCGAGAGCGTGGAGCGGGAAAGACGCGACACAAGAGTCACGCGTCTCGCGGCTTCTCCATTCTCACAGGATACGCGTCACCTCACTATATTTAAGAAAAAATAAAAAACTGCTCGCAGTCTGTATTCCGTTTAACCATTTCATAGGAGTGACGCGAGTCTCTTCAATTGAGTGAAAAAGTCACAAACCCATTCTTTACCTCATGAGCGTAACCACTGACCACTCACGAATTGCTCGGAAATTGAAATCGTATCGAGTATACAAAGAAAATTAAAAGTGAGTTCCTTAAGATCTCCCGAGCTTGTATCGCGTTGGAAACAATTACAAGTACAACTGAAGAAGTCTTAAAATCTGCTAGATAAATTTTTTTCATACTTTCTGAGAAGTTAAAGAGTTTCGGGAGCTTTCCTACAAAGAAATATAAAATGGAAGGTCACCGACATAGTTTTTTAGATAATTTACAATATCTGAAAATTTGAGTATCTGTTTGTGGACCTTACGTCTTGCCATGGTAACCGATATGACATCACAAGTGCCCTTAAAGACACCCCGCGCGGTTCTGTTTTCACTCAGCGGCTGGTCAGCGGTCCGTTTATGAGGTAAACTTGGCGATCGCTTCCTGAACACCGTTCTTGTCGATCAGAAAATCAAAATACCAGCATGATATTGCCTCGAAGATGAAGCAGTTGTGTTATTTGATTCGTACTTCACATTCGAGTCGAGGCTTGGGTGGCACAGGTTATTTCTTATGGTGGACTGACGAGGGGAATTTGAACACTAGTTGTAGTGTTTGAATTGTTGGAAGAAATGGTCGCATGGGAATGTAGGAATGGTAAGTTTAACGAATAATTTCAAACTTTGCTGCTTGAATTGGAATTAAAGTTCATTTGAATTGCTTTCGTATGTATCGCTGACGGTTTTAGATCTACCTGCTCGATTTATGTCTGCAACGCTTCATGTTGACAAGTCCCTCAAAATGGCGGCCAAACTTGGAGATTGCCGAAAATCAGGTAAGTTCGCGGAGATATTAAGTTTTCGCAAAGGTCGGGCCGCAAAGTTTTTTCTGTAGTTACCTTTTCTAGGGCATTTAATTCCTAGCTATGTTAGTTGGATCAGTTAAGAACGCCTCACGTTTTCAAAAATTTTCTTTGAATTTGATCGGTATTCGCGTGTGTGACTTAAGCGAACCGATAATTTGAAATGTGATGTTCACGAAAGTCGCCTCGATGGATACGATAGAGTCAATATACATGGCTGGGGTATTAGTTTTTTGCTGAGTTCCGTAGTTTTTTGTAAATTGTCCTCCAAAGCTGTCTCAAATTAAAGTCTAAAAGTGTCACGACAGGCCTTTGCTCGAGTGGAATATAATTTCCGTAAAACTCTGAAAAATAAAAAGACCGATCAAACGGATTGTGGTTTTAGTATAGGTGCATGAATGTCTTACAGCACACAAGAAACGAGGGAAATCTGTGTCTCAAACAAAATCGGCAGGACCGCTTTTACAGAGACACTCTCTTAAAGTATTTGACCATCTATGCATATGAGACAAACGCAGTCGAGGAGACCACACGAATCTCGAACAAGCTGCCTGCACTCGGCAAATCAACTTCAGAGGACATTTAAAGGAATACCCCAACGTTTTCAAACCAGGACGCGGAAAACCTCTTGGGAGCCCCTGCACATCGACTTGGATCCGTCTGTCACACCCGTCCATGCCCCAACCTATTGATTGGCTGTCCAATATGCTGGTTAAAAAAACGCCTAATGGCAAACATCGCATCTGCATCGATCTGAGCCAGACCATAAACAAGACAATCAAAAGACCCAAATACACAATACCCACAATCGAAGAGAGGCTACCCCTTCTGACAAACGCCAAGGTATTCACCGTCGTTGACGTTTCTGAGGCGTTTCACACTATTGAACTGGATGAAGACTCTTCCCTACTTACAACTTCTCGGGGACCAAATGGTCGTTATTCTTACAATCGGATGCACTTTGGTATCGCTTCAGGACCAGAAGAATATCAGCGGCGACAACATGAATTTTTGGATGGATTGAATGGAGTAATCAACATAGCAGATGACATCTGTGTTTATGGTTGAGGCGATACTAAGGAAGAAGCCGGTATTGATCATGACCGAAATCTTACGCATCTACTTGAGAAGTGCAATGAACACGACCTTCGATTCTCCGCGAAAGAAAAATTCAAATTAAGTCCAGCTCTGTTTTATTTATGGGGTACCGACTAACCAACAAAGGACTACAGCCCGATCCAAGCAAAGCAGCTGCGATCACGGGAATGCCAACCCCAGGACATAAGGCCACCTTGCAACGTTTCCTAGGAATGTGCCAGTACTTGTCCAAGTTCTGCCAAAACCTGTCCCAAACAGTCCTCCCATTGAGGGACCTAACTAGGGATGACACTGAATTTCTTTGGTCTGAAGTTCACGAGGCGGCATTCAACTCAGCCAAGACCCTTATAGCTTCCACAACAGTGTTGCGCTATTATGACGTCGGCCTTCCTGTAACTCTTCAATTAGACGCATTTGACATTGCCATAGGCGGAGGTTTACTTCAGGAGGGCCATCCTGTCTGCTTCACGTCACACACCCTTAGCGCTACAGAAAAGAATTATGCTCAAATCGAGAAAGAGTGCGTGGCAATTGAGTCCTGTATGGAGAAATGGCATCATTACCTATATGGAAAGCATGACATAATGGTCCACTCTGATCATCAGCCCCTAGAGACCATTTTTACGAAACCTTTGAGTAGAGCTCTACGCAGGCTTCAGAGAATGATGTTGAGATTGCAGAACTATCACTTCACTTTCCAGTACAAGAAAAGAAAAGAGCTCTTCGTGGCCGACACTCTGTCTTGCACACCTCGCAGTGATGGATCCCAGTCCCCTTCCAGAATGACGCAAGAGTATGATGTATTTCGCGTGGATCTCAAACAGATGAACCTGTCACCAAACCTTGTCAAATCCGGTACATTGAATCAGATCAGAGAGGAAACTGGGAAAGACCCATCCTCAATGACACTGAACAAACTGGTGCTGGGTGGCTGGCCCTGCCAAAAGAATGAAGTACCAGGGGAAATCAGAACCTACTAGGACTTCAGAGATGAGATTTCAGATTATGAGGGAGTGCTTTTCAAGTCATTGTTCCCGCATCACTCTGACCTGAGCTCCTACAGGTGATTCACAAAGCACACTAAGGCGCAGATAGTAGCATACGAAGAGCCCGGAAATCCGTTTACTGGCCAGGAATGCAAGAAGCAATTAGGCAAACTTGCTCCTCATGTGGTGTGTGTTCTCAATACCTAAGTGAGCGGCCCCAGGAACCCATGCAGTCACATGCCATACCGTCTCGGCCGTGGGAAAGAGTGAGTGCAAATCTGTTTCAACTAAATGGCGATAATTACCTTGTGCTTGTGGACCATTACAGTGATTATATCGAACTTGAACCTTTAAGAAACACATCAGCCGTTGCAGTCATACGAGCCATGAAGAGAAATTTCGCACGCCACGGCATTCCCGACGAATGCGTAACAGATAACGGTCCGCAGTTTGTTAGCCACGAATACGCACGTTTTGCACGTGATTATGGATTCAACAGTATTAAACCATTCCCCTACAACGGTCGAGGAAGCGGAAAAGCAGAATCTGCGGTCAAGACTGCAAAAATATTCAGAAGAAATCTCGCTTTGAGGAACCGTATCTGGCTCTTTTGGCCTATCGAAATACGCCACAACAGGGATACCAATACTCACCAGCACAGCGACTAATGTCTCTTATTACACGACTCGGGCAGTCAGAGGGCCAATAACTAAAATCAACCAATCAAAGTGCTCTGATGCCGGTCCAATATTCTCTAAGTATTGGACCGGGAACTGTCCCGAATGGTCCCGAATGATATCACACTTGTGATATTCTCCCAGTACGGCCCTCGCGCTTGGTTAATAAGACATATGTAAACGTCGAGACGTCATTCCAACAGAAGCAGACCAGCTTCTCCCACAAGGCGCATCACGACAGATTGTAATGAGAAACGTCAGAGACGAGATTCCGATCAAAAGCCCATTATGACAAGAGGGCATCGGGCCCGATGAAACCATTTGCCCTAGGGGAAAAGGTCTTCCTGAAGTTGCGACTAACAAACAAAACTCAGCCATGGATTAATGGGGAGGTAGTCGAACAACCCTTATCGAGTTCCTGCGTGGTCAAGACTGCAATGAGACCTGTTCGACGAAACCATGCCCAAATCCGGGAGGCGAGAACGGAAACGGCTGAGAGACAGACTACCGGGATGGACCAGCTTGCAGTCGTATCCACACACTCTGAACAGGAGCAGGAAAGACAACCAACTGACCCTGAGAAGATGGAACTAGAGAGCGGATTACCTCGAGGCGAGGAATGCGGACTTCGCCGTCCACACATGGGATGAGAGAGCGCACCACCGCGAGCCGACGATTGCTGACTTCGCCGTTCACAAAGGACTCGTAAACGGCCGTCAAGGTTCAAATACTATGTTATTTAGACTCACAAGCCGAGATGAACTGAACTCTATCATACTAGCGTACTTATTTATTTATTTATTTATTTATTATTCATCTTTCCAAGACAGAGAGGGTGTTGCAGAACTCTTGCAATTAGCACCTCAACATTTGCACCTTCGTTATTTGTACCCACCAATCACAATACATGTAATTATCACATCAGCATCTGGACACAACGCCTGTATAAATCTGTGGACAGGCTTTACTAAACGTTCTACTTTGAACACGAAAAGTAACGGTCAACACAGGAAGGCACTTTCAATACATGCAAAACTCTGCCCCTTTTCATTTTTCACATAACATTCCCATCCTTCTGGAGTTCACAGTTTGCTCCCCAATTTAAATTTTTGAAGGAAAAAGCTGTAATTCTTAAAATAGTGGGCAAACAATAGGCAGTTTTTCCGACCCTGCTATCATTGATTGTCGCTGGCAGTCAAAAAGAGAGACCCCTCCACGAAAAAGTGTCGCTCCTAAACCTAAATTATTTGCTATACATATAAGGCAAAGTATCTCTTAACTCTTCTTGTTAATAGTCCCCTTCGAGCAGTTTTTAAATTCATTTTGACGCAATGCGCACACAACGGTGCGCTTATGACGTGTCACAGTTTTCGTTTTGTTATTATGACCACTTACCTAGTAATTTGAATTAATTCAAATTTTTAGAAATTGTGTCTTGGAACAGACGGTCCATATCTGTTGTCTATATATATATATATATATATATATATATATATATATATTATGTCTGAGCAGATCTTATATCTCAACGATATTGCGCTGCACGCTAACAATTTCTTTCCCGTCTCTACTCTTTGTTCACCGTCTACGAAGGCTGGCTTGCTTTTGTCTTCGGCATTTTGAAGATGAAATTTCGATCGGTGACTTCAGGTGACCGACAAAAAAGTTCGATGAACCCTTTCACCCCCAAGATCTGATTGTTAATTCTCCCCTCTAACTGCTACACATTTCCTGGAAAATCCGTTACAATAATGTGGTGATGGATTAGGATAACATCTATCTGATAAGTTTGAGTATTCTCATTACCTGTTTGCTGGATAATGTATGGATATAATAGGGAGAAGTTACATGTTAAACACTTTTAAAGCGCTAAAACAACCCATGTGCAATGTCCTCAGTCTGTATCATTCTTCTGATAATTGGTCACTAATTAAAATAGAAGGTCCAACTTAACCCTCGGCAATGTTTGGTATCGTGTGAATTTGGACTTACGATAAACAGGTACTTCGTTTTGTGAGATGAAAATTTGACGCTGTGTGCTCGACATAAGTGACGAGTTTTAAACCTAAAAGTATAGTATTTTTAATGAGCCATGGGGAAATCAGTGCAGTGAAAATTTATTAAAGGAAATTTATTAAAGGAATGTGGACATCTTTTTTCTCCAAAGACGAAGGGATACGATCTTTCGACCACCAGTTTTAAACTGATATTGTGCGTAGATCGTGTAAGTTTGGATCTAAGATCTAGAACGGTTCTGTTAGCGTTTAGAACTGATAAAAGTTTTTAATCTTTCAGGCAACATGGTGTCCACTAAAACGGCTGGTTTGGCTTTTTCCGGCGGTGGCATTCGGTCAGCGGCGTTATGTTCTGGGGTCTTGCGTAGACTGCTCCAGAGTAAAGCAAAGGTAGACTACCTGAGCTGCGTGTCAGGGGGTGGTTACACGGGTACAGCCTTTCTGGATTGGAAATACAGAAAAGAGAAGAAAGCAAAGGGCAGGGAAGAATGGCATAAAGAGTTCTTTGAAAACATGCGACAAAGAGCAGGTTATTTTTGTAACTGGGAGAAGCCATGTCAAGGAATCCTTGATACAATTGTATTCTTCTTCCTTGTGCTCACTGTCACCTTCATTGAACCGATTGTCATTTGTGGATCATATGCATTTCCAGTTGCCTTCATTATCGACTACCTCTTCGGGAAGTTACTTCGCGCCAAAGTGGATTGTGATCACGTAGCAGCAACCTCTTCTCCAAGTAACCCAAACGCTACGGCCCAAAAAATCCTGGAACACTGTCTTTCGCGTCAAGGAACCGTAGCTTTCAATAAGATTACCCTATTTTCAGTTCTGGTCGTCATCGTTGTCATCTTTTACATTCTGTCGCAAAAGTTGTCTAAAAAGAAGTCTAAGTATTTCAGACTTTTCTCAATAATTTCCTTTTTATTTCTTTCTCTTACTTTCCTCCCATTTGCAATCAATGATTTCTATATTCAAATCCCTCTGTGGAGTCAGGCGTTTATTGTAGTGATTGGTTGGGTCTTATGGTTTGTCCTTCCTCTGTTGCGGGAAAAAACTTCCTTCGGCATTTTGATTTATCTCTATTCTTATATCATCTACTGGAAAGTGTACGAAGCCAAGATTGTTGGTGTTTTGTTTTCTATTGAGCTTTTCAATAAGCTGCTCTTTGCCTCTGGGTTTATCATATGGTTTGTACCTTACCTAGCACAATCACGGAGGAGGCTCGTTCACGTCTTCAACAGGTAAGACAGAAAAAAGGTAATTGTTATCTGCAGAATAGGAGAGTAAAGTCTGTACTCGAGACAAGTGACTCATCCAGCCAGAGCTTATCCCAGTTTCCTTAGCATGAGGGGCGACTAGGAGTATAACTACCCCCCCCCCTCCCCATCCATCACAAGGTGTTACCCGGGGAATTTCATCAGGCTTCCCTGACAATTTGCTGGTACTCATTCAGACTCCTGGGTAGTGAGAGGCAGTGTGAGAATAAATTAAAGTGCTCTGCACAAAAGCAAATCATATTGAGCTATAGAACTCAGACCTCTTTGTAATGAGATGCGTTTATGCAAATGAGTGAGCATGCGCGTTGTAGAGTGTTAGCGAGTGTGCCAGAGAGTGTTCCACGGGTCAGTAGTTAAGTTATCATGTAATACAAGTCTTAATTCTCGGAATAAATTCATTCAGCAACCCACTCAGAGTCATTACACTCTTAACCCAGAATGTTTCTTGTTTCACAGAATGTTTACAAAGAATTTATTATTCACTGAATCACTAAAACTCTACCAATTTGCAGATGGAAACTTCAGAAGGCATTTTACTCAAAGGAAAGTTTAGCTGCCAAGGGATGGCTGGAAATACTCCAAGATGTCTTCTGTCCTCTATGGACATGTCTGGGGATGAAACAGAAGAAGGGGTTCTGCCATAGAGATAAGAGAGGCAGCTTTGATACCTCGGCCAGTGGCATTGATCCAGCTCAAAAAAGATCTTTGAACCTGGCAGATCTCAGTGGCATGGAACCTGAATACATATCAAACATGACTGTCCACAACTGGAAGGAAAATGCCAATTTTGACACAGATGATGATGTCTTGACAATATCACCTACCACAATTGAGCGTTTAGATCGAGACCCATCGACTGCCGATCCATTTAAATATCAGCGGAGCCCTGAAGATATAGAGTTGTCATATGCCATGGCGACTTCTGCAGCAGCGATTTCTGGGTACGTCGATAACCTCCAAGTATTTCACCTTTCCACGTTCCTTGGACTCGAAATGGGAGCCTCAATGATCAGCAACCTCGAGGCAATTAAAAATGAGTCAAGGTTCATGAAGGTAAGAGGTTGCCCCACTAAGGAGTCAGATAACTTACGTCTTACAACGACCCTGGAAGGACTGCTATAGAATTATGGTCTTTCCAGGGAGTTCGTCTCCAAGCATGATATCCGCTTGGAAAATCCATACCATGTTGAGTGTACCCTAATGTAGACTTCAATACCCGAATAAGTTTAATTTAACGAAGATCTAGTTTGACTGTACAAAAAAGGAAACAAACGTAAACAAAACGAAGCGAAGCGAAAATACTACAGTGACACCATACTTACAAGATTTGTGGACTCGAAGGAAACGTAAAGAAAACATTCATGAGAAAATAGACAAACATCTAGGACCGAACTTTCATGTACTTCTAGAGGTGCAAGCACATGGTCCATGCCATAATATCAACAATGCACATGACGTAGATTTACCAGTCCCGCGCGGACTTAACACGGGAAACGTTTTGTGACTTACACCTAATGCAGTTGAGATAATTTGTTCTGACGCTACAAGAATATATAAAGGACCAGTTATTATTCATCGCACTGAGGGCGGAGGGGGGAAGGGCCGGCGCACTGAGGATTTTTTGGGAATTTCAGGGTTTTTAAAGGGAACTGTGTGGCAATTAGTCGTCGTGAACAGAATATAACGAGGGGACTATTAA